TCGTGCATTGTGCATCACGCATCATTCTTGCGATGAGGTGAAATGGCACTAGCAACTCTCTGGCGCTCACAAGCGATGCCCTGGGCCGTGGTAATTTTTTTTACCCGGACTAAGATCCCCCGTAGGATTTCATGATTGGTATTGCTGTGGTCCTTGGCAAAGTATGTTCAAAGTTTCATAAATTCCACTAAATTTTGACGGAAGTAGAGGTTATATGGTTATATGCAAGGTAAATTATCTGTCCGATTCGTTGAAAGGGATATGTGCCTTGTTGTCGTCTCCTATGATAAAATCCATCCTGGAGGAGCGCAACGTGATCAGCAGCCTGCAGAAAAGGGATTTAATATAATGAGATATAGCTTTTCCCTCGTTGTTTGCATTTCGCAATAGATGTAAATAAAGTAAAATGTTGAAATTCTTGATTAAAAACCGGGAAAAGAACAGGTTTCTGAAAGGATGATTCTCTCGCCACAAATGAGTCTTCAGCAGATGGAAATGAATAAAATTGATATGGTTAGACGGTATGGAACTTATATATTTCTGGTTTTATATTTCAGAAGCCTGTCGCTTTTGTATCGAAGAGTCAACGTCAGAACAGAGATGTGTGATTCCACAGTTGGGGAGTGGTGTGGGTGAGGGGAAGCGGCCGGATCAAAGTTTTGGGCAACAATGGTGAACAACAATAAATCTTCGCAAAACAAAGGAACTATCAAAGCACAATATCAACAACAACGCCTCAATGAAAGCACAAAGGCTCCGAGAAATACATTGACGCATTTCTAAAAGTTGCAAAAGCCATAATAATACATGGAGCCCCCAATGCACGCAAGAAGGGCATGATCAGAGGGAAATACCGTCGTAAAGTCCGCTTCCCAACCACCACCTCAAATAACAAAGAATCCTCCCGAAGAGCAGCGTCCTCTCCCGCCCACCCCAGAACCACCAGACGCAGGTTGCATGGCAGTAGTGCCGCTCCTAGCATCTTAGAGGAACGGCACAAGCAACAGGCGTTGAAAACCGATTCGTCTCCCCACACCACCAGGGAGCCTTCAGCAGCAGCATCATTGTATCCTCATTCGCACGGTAAGCGGAGAAAAAGGAAGAATAAGGATAACATGGCTGCCCCACAAAGCCTCCACGGTCAATATCAAAAGAGCATTCCAGACTTATTCACACAGCTACCCTTAATCCGTGACCAGCTAGTTACGGAGACTTCGAAAACGCAGGATGCAACGATTGACCAGTGTCTCCCGTTCCTGAAGGGGCTTGCCAGCTCCCAGACTGGCCCATTCAATCAATTTGGCGTGCCACGTCTGGATCGGGACGCCCATATTTCGTTCCTCTATGACTCTCTCGAGTCTTACCCTGAGCGGTTTGTCGGACTTGATTCAAGTCGTCCGTGGATGGTCTACTGGGCATTAACCGGATTGCATCTATTAGGGGAGGATGTTACGAAGTTTCGGGAACGGTAGGTTTGGATTCTATTTGTTTATGTCTGATTATAATAATATTCTATCCTATATTATTTTATGTTCTTTCATTTTTGGATGTGCTTCACGTCAGATCCATTTGGTACGGAACGGGGAGTGGCGTCGAACATTGGCGGATCTTCGATGCACGAAGAGCGATAACGTTGTAGAAAATATAGTTCACCTCTCGCGTTTCGTGTTACCATCTCACTGACTTTCTGCTCTGAATACCCAGCGTCATAGCTACTGCTGCCCCGATGCAAAACTCCACGGGGGGTTTTGGCGGAGGACACGGCCAAATGTCGCATTGTGCTTCTTCTTATGCACTTGTACTTTCTCTGGCCCTAGTGGGCGGGCAGAATGCATTCAAACTGGTCAATCGGACGGCAATGTAAGCCCTTCCGACATGGTTTACATGCCGCTTTGTGCCGCTGCATTTTTCATCCGCAGGATACTAATCTGATAGATAAGGTGGCAATGGCTTGGGAAATTGAAGCAAGCAGATGGCGGCTTTCAGGTAACCCTTGGCGGTGAGGAGGATGTGCGGTAGGACTCCCCGAACCACGTTTGAAACGGAACATTATTTACTAAAAAACTGCAGAGGCGCATACTGTGCAATGGTTATGATTGCCTTGTTGGATCTTCCGCTCCAACTACCTCTCGATTCGCCCGCCAGACATGCTGGCTTAGACACTTTCATAAGCGGGTTGCCAGAATATCTGTCTAGATGTAGGAAAAGAAGCAAATAAATGACATGTGGCATCATCTGGGAGGTAGAGCTGACCATTATCTCGTCTAGGTCAAACTTTCGAAGGTGGGATTTCTGGAAGTCCGGGGACGGAAGCCCATGGTGCATATGCCTTTTGTGCTTTGGCATGTCTATACATCCTTGGCGACCCTAAGGAGATGATCAAAAGGTTCGTGAGTACATCTGCTATCTATTCCGGAAGCAATGCTAATCCGTCTCTAGATATATGGATCTTCCGCTCTTAATATCATGGCTCTCAGCTACACAACGTGCTCCGGAAGGTGGATTCGCGGGGAGGACTAACAAGTTGGTTGATGGGTGCTACAGTCATTGGGTTGGCGGTTGCTGGCCCTTGGTCCAAGCTGCCGTCAATGGCATTCAGTCAACATCCACACCATCATATTCGGGATCTGGCAGCCTTTTCCATCGCGAAGGATTGATAAGATATATCCTCAGTTGTTGTCAAGGGCCCCATGGCGGGCTACGGGATAAACCTGGCAAGTAAGTGCATCTTCCCGCCGGTGGGGCATGTACATCACCCGCTTATGTACAGGGACAAATTTGGGGAGTTTATAAAAGAAACTATCGGCGTGGCTGATCCCCCCCCCCCCCCCTTTTTTTTTTTTTAGAAACCCCGATTCCTATCATACCTGTTATATCCTGGCTGGTTTAAGCACCGCACAACACCACCACTTCCATACAGGCATAGCCTCGGCGGGGGAAGCTAATAATCCATTTCCATCCGCATTTTCCTGGTCACATGCACCTGTAACCGCATCAACAGAACAAGGCCAGTCATCTGTTGTTTTCAATGAGGAGGATCGACTAGAAGTCGTCCATCCTCTATTCGTCATTCCGCATCGTGCAGCGGAGAAGTTGCGAGAATGGTGTCAGAAGCATCCGCTCGAAATTTGAACATCAAAAAAAAAGTCCGCATTTGCCAACAAGGTACAATGGCGTTTTGGCCTGGGACGAGGGAGGGCAACTTGTAGGCCTAGTTGAAGTATAGGAGTATGAAAAGTTGGGAGGGTTTTCGTGTATATACATACCTGAATGCACCTGAAACAACTATAGGCTAGCAAAGCTACAACGAATCATGTAAGGCCAAAACCAGTTGTCTTTTCAATCTCTCGTACTACCTGGTTCGATATTTATGCTCCTCTCCTACTGGATCAGATATCTTGGCGCCATTGTAACTGTAGCTGAAGAGCGAGTGTCACCCGGGTCACGTTTTCCGGAGTCAAAAGCAACCTCTTTGCTTGCATTCCTCCTTGCGTCTCGGTCGCAAGGTTTGATCATCTTGAGGACAAACAGTGTTACATCGAGAAGTG